ATGGGTTTGAAGCCTTTGGACCTAGCTGGAGTGTTTTGGGAAAGACGCCAAGGTTGGCAGATTTCTGTTTTGTGAAACGTGCCTAACGTGCGTATGGGTGCTGACAATGTCACGATACCTTCAGAGGAAAATTCAGTTGAGTCATGTTTATGTTTGTGAGATTCCTTTCTAATATAATTTAATCATCTAAGCTCTGATTTCACAGCAGCTGTTGCTAGAGATGCCTTGAAAGAAAGTGGTGGAGTGGGTAGGATGCAAAAATGCCATTTCTTTCCTTTTCTCTAAGGAACTGCTGTGAGTATGGCTGCTTTACTGGAGATGTGAAGCATCCAGGCCTGTTATCTACCTTCATTTATTTAGGCTAGGGGGATTTGTCTCCTGTTGTTTAATGTGTCATTTTGGGTGTAGTTGTGCCTCCGCTGTCTTGTAATTGCTGTAGAAGTTGGGAGTTGAGTATCCTTGGAATGGTAGTTAGCCTCTAATAACATCAATTAACATATTCGGTAAGTGCTTGATTTCTGTGAAGATCTGAGGAGTATGTCTGACAAATTTAAACTCCTGGTTTATTCCCCCCATGAATTCTAGTAATAAAAGAGGAATGGCAGGGTCCATTATTTCCCTACCTGCTTCATAACAGTATAAAAGTGTTTCTTCTCGGTGTTATGAAATGGTAGGTTTTTTTCCCCACCTTTGAATACCAGTTTTATTCAGCTGTTTCTACAAGGTGTGCCAGGAACAGTGTTACAAAGGATGTGATAAACAGACATTTTCTTTCTTTCTTTCTTTCTTTCTCCTTTTCTTATGCAGCTCAAGACCCATATTACCCTAATGCTCTCGGGCACTGAATAAAAGATCTCTTGCCTTCGTCTTCAGCTATAGGTACAGGACAGACCTTTTACAGGTGGGTTGTTGCTCCCTAGGCTGCAGCTGTCTCTGCCAAGCAGCTGCACTCTGGTGACCGACAGCCTGGTGACCGGGCTTCTGTTGTGGGTTGGTTTTTTTGTTTTGGTCAACTCTTTCATACATGCATGCTTTCTGTAAATTTTTAATGACTTTATTCAAGCAGAGGTTTGTTCTCGGTGTTGTTAACGTGTCAGGCTGAGGTTAAAACTAGTTTACCTATTTGATGTGACTGAAAGGTGGTTATAAACATTTGAAGCAGCTGCTTTTGAGCATTTGGTTTTAGAGAAGGAATATTTGCTGTGAAAATCGGATTGAGTTTGGAATACTAGAAGGCGGGCTGGAAATGAAGTGCATGCCCCCAGGATTATAACATCGCTTGCATCTTCTTAGTGCTGAGAAAAAAGGGTTAATATGTGACACAAGTAATTAAAAATAATTTTTTTTAAGTGTCTGTTTCTGCTATAAAGAAAGCCTGTCTGACCAGGAGGAGCAAATCTGCAGCAGTATCGAACCCTCACATCTTCAAGCCAGTCCGCCGTCTGCTTTGAACATGCGAAGGGCTCTAAACATGTGCAACCTGAAAAGCAGGCCCCAAGTATGTCAGTTTGGGCATCATAAATAAAGGATTTGGTCTCTATCTCTCCTTGCTTCAGATAACTCATTTGCAGAAAGAGGACTACATAACCCCTTAAAGGACTGCTGTGAAGATAAATAAGAGTATTGGGATTCTGTCACTTCAGTGCCACAGAATCCTCCTCTCCTGTCCTGCTCCCAGGAGAAAGCTAATGCATTTTGTGTGTATTAACATGGTATGTGGTAAATGAGAGCCACAAGTGACATACTGACTTACTGAATAGTAAAGATGTGCTTAATAAAAAAAAAAAAAAAAGGCAGGGGGAAGGCAAATAAACAAAAACACTTGTTACCGTTTTGGACTATGTTCTGGCATGCTAACTGAGCTCATCATCACAAAACAGTAGAGACCTTGAAAAAATACTATAAATAAGTGCAGAGAGGTAAACAAAGTTCTGGGTTTCCCTTCCTCCGTAGTGTGTTTTCTTTCTTGTATTAGCAGGCTTGGTAAGAGTCAGTTTCCCACCCAGACTGAGCTCTTATCCTTCCAAGGGTTGTCTGATAAGATTTGGAAAGTATACTGTTACTTCAGAAAAACAGAGTAGCAGTATGAATGTAAATTACAGGCTCATCAGCCTCTGGGTCTGTGTTCCTGGAGAGTGCAACAGTTAATTTTTTTTTTGTAAGATTGCAAAGTAATTTTGCCCAGAGGAGTAAATGTAACAGAGGGTGGGTGAGTGCAGGCAGCTGAGAGGTATGCGTGATTTAAATCTGAGGGCACAGTATGTAGGGCATGGAAGATGAAGGCAGATAGGTGCAGGACTGTCAACAGAAAGAAATGTTGGTTGCTGGAAGTACCTAATATCTGTCCTGGAAAGACTGCATTTCTTCCTCTTAACAGTCACAATGATCCAGATCCTGCCTCTCCCTCCTCCATGCGGTATAAATGCACAAGGACGTTATAAACAGTCTGTACTACTTAAGTCTCTGGGTGTATCCCCTTTCTATTACGCTAATTCATATGGCCAAAATTGCTTCATAATCCAAATGGGTTAAGCACCTGCTTCCTCTGAGACACATACTGAGAGCCCACATCTGGTGCAGGTGTTGCTGTTGCCTGTTTCTGGGTGGTTATGCTTTCATTGCCATCATCCTCTTCCTCAGGTGACTTGATCAAGGGTGAAGGGTGCCCATCAGTGGGGCAGGGTGTTAGAGGATCAGCTGTGGAGCTCCAAAATGATGTATGGACATGTGATGACTGATGGGGGATTCCTGTGTTTACCTGCATTTGCAGAGCAAATGTCTTCCAGAAAACTTCCAAAGATATCTAATTTATGGTTGTGGATAGGGGTGACAAAAACTGATGAGCATGGTCTTCATTTAAATAAGTAACTGTCAGGATCCCATGACTTGCAGTCTCTTGAGTTGTCTTGACATAGTCCTATTTAGAGCATAACGATATTTAATGTCCTGCCTCAGTATCGTGTAATATTAGGTGATAATTTCTTAGGAAAAAGCCACAGGTTGCTTTCTTCAGGGGATAAATAGTGGTGGGGTTCATTAAGGTGATAGGCAGTCCTCGCCAATTGACAGCACTTGCATGGTGGTCTCGATCACAGCAGAGTGGCCCTGTGGTCTCTTGGTAAGAAAGGGAAAAAACAAGTTCTTCCTTTATGCTGAAAGTGTTGATTTTGGTTCCTCCATTTACCCTGTCATTCATGGGTTAAAGGCTCTTGGAGGCTGCCTGCAGAGGCATCATCTGCTTCACAATACAAGTTGACATGTGGGGTTTTTATTAAGGTACCCTGAATGTCTTCAAGCAAATCACAGTGCCATTATGTGATTGAATTTGCCATTGTAATGTCCCTTCTAAAACAAGGGCTTCTTTTTGTAAAGTGTGTGTGGTGCTGATTCCTCCTCTTTGTAGGGGAGCTGAGTTAGTACCTTCTTTATCATCGCTGCTAGGAGCAATGTCTGGGGCTTTGGTGTTGGGGTTTTTTTTGTTGTTTTTTGTTTCTGTTCATGGCTTTCATGTTCTTTCTTCCCCATTCTGTTCCTTCTTACGGAAGAGGTAGCAAACAGGTTGCTAGCACTCATTTTTGGGACTCTACTCGTATTTTAGTTCAAAAAATAGGCTCTTGGTTCACGGTACTTTATTTACCCAAATGTAGGGGAGAAATAAGTGCATTAAAGGCAGGGGTTTTTTTTCAACTTCTCCTTCTCTACTCGTATTTTAGTTCAAAAAATAGGCTCTTGGTTCACAGTACTTTATTTACCCAACTGTAGGGGAGAAATAAGTGCATTAAAGGCAGGGTTTTTTTTTTCAACTTCTCCTATGTTTTCTTTTCAAGTTATAATAGTAAGAGATAGTATGGATATTACAGGAAAAACTGGATAAATTGTTAGTTTTATTGCTAACGCTTCTAAATATTGACTATTCCAAAGATGTTATGCTGCTCAAAACCAAGGTCTTACCAACGTTCCTTAGTTTGATGTTCTAGAGCTCTTGATGGAGAGCATCGAAGACTTCAAAAAGAAAGGAAATAAAGTCTACTCTTTTTTTTTTTTAAAATTTGTCTTTTTTTTTTTTTTTTTTTTTTGAGGGTTGAATACAGACAGGAAGACAGGCTGCTAGGAGCTGGAAGGTGTTATAAAAAAAAAAAAAGCAGAATTAATGCTTATCTTTCTGTAAGAAGGGTTGACAGATAACGTCCAAGGGAGATGACTTCAAATGAAATTAATGCATGTAAAATACTGCTGTGTAATTACAGATGTTGCTGAGTTGAGCTACTCCTTGTTAATCACACTTAATTAATATAACCCAGTTGCAAGATGATTTATGGGTGGTTGGATAAGTGTGTAAGATCAGGACTGGTTTTCTGCTCTCTGTAACAGAGACACTGTGTAGTTTCTTTTTACACGATGATGCAAATCTATCCTAAAACAAGAGAATTGATGGACATGGTAGATTAGGAGGTTATGGAAATTTTCCATAGCTCCTGAAAGTGTCTGCTTCGGCCTTTCCTTCTGCAGGGACAGAGGGTTCAGTCTTATATTGTCTCGTGTTTCCTTTTTGAATGTTAGAAGGCTTAATACAGACTCATTTTTACTTGTATGTTCAGTTACCTTTTGACTTACTACTACGGTACAACAGTTTTATAAATTTATTTGCTATTATATGCTGTATAGGGCATTCCGGGTACTAAATTTGGAGAGCATATTTTGGCATTCTGTTGATCTGTAATCTCTTTTAGGGAGACACGTGCCTGGAAACTCTTGTTTGTTTCAGCAGAGAAGAGTGGAAGTGTTTCTGGAGCTCTAGAGTAGAAGAAAGGGTAGCTGAGAATCATGAAGATGTTATTGAAGGAATAAACCAAGTAAATTAATATTTGTGTGAAACAGACTGTTGGAGATTATTTAACGTGGTACTCAATTTTTTCCAAACTGTACTGTGCTTGTTACTCATTTCATGATTTTTTTTTTTCCTTCAGTTCTATAGGTGCTGGTGCAAAAACAGTTTAGCAATGGATCAAAGAAAAAATGATAGTTTTGTCCCAAGTATCACACAGTTGGAAGACTTCCTAACAGAACATGACTCCAACGTTGTTTGGCTGTTAGTAGGTAAGGTGAATCTATTCTGTTTTAGTTAAATGGTTTTTTTTGTGTGTACTTTTAAATGTGCTTCTCTAAATGCTGGCATACCAATATTGAATTTCTTACCAAATTACATCAAAACATTGAAAATAGATTTTTGTTTGTCATATGGCTGTTTAGTGAGGTAGGGCAATGCTACTTCAGTAATTCAGAAAGAAAAAATACGGAACGTTGCCAATACTAATTGTGCTGCAACACTTGGGAGATAAATCCAATGTGCAAAGGATGATGCTCTACCACTGCGACTCTGTGTAAGTAAGAACTTGGTGAGAACTTCCCTCCATGAAATGAGCTTTTTCTAATACCAGAGTAAGCTGGTGATTACTTGTAATACCATAACAAAGGATTAGCATTATAGCACATGACAGGCAGATACAATAACTTCGTTATACCAATATGTACATATCTGCTATTTAATATGATATAGCTTGAAGAGTGATATGAAGACTATTGTGTCTAATGCCTTAACTTCTAAATTGTGTGCCACAATCAGCCTTTAAGCCAAACCATCGTGTACTTGGTCATGGGCTGTTCTTGTAAACGTGCCTGATTTGGTGTGCTAATTTTTTTATAACACTAGTGCTATTGTTTATATTTGTGTGTAGGTACTTTTCTGAATCTATGAACAGGTGAGTTGGGGACAGTAAAAAAAAAAAAATTAAGTTGTATTCAGGTCCAGATGAGAGTGCTAGAAGTGTGTGATGAATTTGGACTTGTCCAAAGGTAGATAATACCTGCTTTTCAGCCTTGATTCTTGGACCTAGAGTGAGGGGCAGCACCATTAAAAACAACTTTATTTTTTGACTTCTGGGAAGTTAAAGCATGTCTGTTGGCTATTGACGTACTGGAATTATTGTTCAGTAGGCCAGACTGAATGAAAAGGACATAGGCAAATTAGCTGCGGGTGCTTTCTGAATATTATTTATTTCACTTCTAGTATGTTGACATGGAAAGTTCGTACTCAACATAAATTTCTAAGTGTAATCAAGATGAAAATAAGCAAAGTCACCGTGCTGATAGTTGCTCATGGTAAAAGGTGGAACAGACGCGGAACAGATCTGAAAAATTTGTCTCTGGAAGCTTTGACTTGCGACTTAGAGATGCTCAGGTTTTACACCAAAGAATAAAAGTGTCAAATTGCAGCCTGCAGAATTTTCTTTCTCTGGTCTTCCTGCTCTGCACTGGATTCTTAGTGCAAACTATTAGTAATTCTACTTGGAAAGTACGTAGGATATAAGCAATTCCATGTAATGGCTATAATTCAAACTAAAAGCAGCTTTCTTATTTGCCTGGATATATTAAACTTACAAATTTCTGCTTCACAGAAGGGTGGTTGGAACTTCTTTGTGGTGACACAAAGAACAGAAAAAGCTGGGTAGCCTCCTGTTATTTGGTTTGGATAGAAACATCTTAAAGTAACATTTATTAACTGACACAGCTTCAACCAGCCATTCCTCCTTTGCTTTCATCTGCTGACCTATGGCATCCTGTTATAAGAGAACAAAAAAAGATGTCAATAGTTTCTTCTTCTGAATCCTGAAACAGTTAACTATTGATCCCAGTAGAAGAGGTGATGAATTCTAGAAATGAACGTGCTCCTCAAGAGCTGTTGCTCAATTCTAGAATATTTTCTAAAAATCACATGCTGTAAAACTTTCCAGAGGTAATTTCCAAAATGTAGTTTCGCTGAAGAGGCTTTTAAAATCAAGCATATAATAATGAGATGAATAGAGTTTATGAGATCTGTCGCTTAATAGCGGAGACTAAATTTGGTGAGGGAAAAGAAAAGGCTATGATTTGTGGCAGAGGAGAGTGTAGTGGTAAAGGCAGTGGGTTAGGACCGTAATGCCTGGCAACTGCACTAGTTTGCTGATTTTTCTCAGTATATGTCACCTTAAGAGGGTAACTGCTTGGCTTTAGGTATCTAGAAGTGAAGTGCGTAGTTGAACTTTAATCTCAATTTAAGTTTTAGTACTGGAATGAGAGCGTGAGTCATTCCACCTTTCTCCCTACATTGACAGAGGAGCGGCAGCGAGTAGCTTACTCATCTGAAAGCGAGGGGAGGTGAACGCTGTCCTTGGAGTGTACTGTCAGTGAAAGCCAAGAGCAGTTTGTTTCATGGGGGGTAGCTTTAACCCTCCCTGCCTTGTTCCCGTGTCAGCACCCACATAGATTTGATTTGTTTTATGTGTCAAGCCGCTTACCTGCCCGAGTGTATGAGCTACTTGAATTTTGGCCACATTAGATCCATTTTCCAGTAAGGAAAAGACAAAGTCATGCAAGTTTTTCTCTTCTACCTTCTCCTCATCTTTCAACAAAGCACAGGCATTGTTACAAAGCAGTGGAGCATCCCACTGCAAAAAAAAAAAAGGGGCAGTAAAAGGACAGGTTGTTTTCGTAACTTTTTTTGTGTTTTTTCTTTTTTTTTTTTTTTTTTTTTTTTGAGTAATCATCTGAACTCTCTGCAGAGTGAAGGCTTCATACTCGTATGCCTTTCTGTACTTCAGATTTCCCATAAAAGGCACAATAAATCTGAATTTTTGAGTATGAAGTATATACATAAATGAAAAACTTCTGTTACAAAGTTGAGTTAGTATAATGAGTAGAGATACCTCAAATACAAAAATTGCTTCTTTCCTACTCTGCTTTGGATGAAACAGAATGGTAATTATCAGTAAAGTGGACTGGAACTAGCCTGTTCCCTGGCAGTCCCACTGCTTTTGGGTTTGTCCTTCTGGAAGCTTTGAGAACCCTTGTAGTTAGAAATAGGTTACTAGCTCTTAATCAACTAAAGTGAAAATTACTTTGGGGATTAGCAGACCTAATTTTTTTTCTTTTTTTTTTTTTTAACATGTTTCTCATTGGATTGCTATTTCTTTTTTTTGCTATCAAATTCCATGCTTGAACTGTTGACAGATTTCTGCTAACCTGAAGACTGGTACATTTGTCTAAGGATACAGCAACTTAGGAAATGGCTTCAGATGTGATAATGTTGCTTCTTGTGCTAAGATATGAAAGACCAGAAATTTCAGTTGCAGTTCATGGTTTGGAGAAGGGTGGAGAAGGAATGTAGTATGACTTTTGCTGTGGTGTTTTTTTAGGGTGTTTTGAAATAAATGACTGTGTGGGATCATGCGTGTTATGATTTGATCTATGAAATTTAACTTCTTGGATGATAAGAGATGCAATTAAATATGTGTTGCCTTTTGCACGTCCTCAGGAGGATGTGGGGTTTTTTATATTGGGGAATGGAAGAGCAGTGAAGAATCTCTACTTTTCTGAACTTCCTGTTTCCCCTTCTTTTTTCTCCCCATCTGTTTACACCTCTCACACAGAGAGATTCTGAAAGCACCCATTAAAATGTCCCATCAGGTTCAAATTTTTTTTGAGAGTAGGAAGAATGTTCTTGTGCTTTATAGTCTTAATAGGTAAGGCTTTTATCTAGGTCAGCATGCTTCAAAAAGTATTTTAATCTTTCAACAGCGACAATACTGTCTTGTGGATGGATTATCTACCTAACTTATTATAATTCCCGGAACATTGGACTCATTTTAACATTGGTTCTTAACAGATTATATAAACATGGCTACATCCATATTGGTAAGTTATTATTACTGCAATGCTGCTGTTTATCTACTGCTTTTTATTATACCGCAATTTGCTAAAACCAAAATGTTCCTTTGTTACAGTAATTTGAAAATGATCAGCATGGGTTTAATTTAAGAAGAGAAAAAGTTCAATATCATGCTTTTGGGGAGGATTCTTGGTGTAGGTAGAAAAACACCCCCTTGAAGTCTCTCATTATATTAAAGTTCACTTGACAGATTTTTTTTTTTTTAAGTCGAGTTTACTTTTTTCTGTTTAGTCTGTATATTTTGTCTACTTAAAAACTGTACACTTTCCCTTACCCCTTTTTTCAAAGCCCTGTAATCATAATGGTTAGTGTCCTAAAAGGAGAAGATTGACCTCAGTCCCCCATGGAACCTGCCTGAGCCGCTTCTGCATTTGCCTCATGATTTGGTGTTAAGGGTTGGAGGTTCCCACTCCCCCACACCTTTGAGGCAGGTTATACGGCATCTGAAGCGTGGGTAGCAACCGCTGGAGTGGGCTCAGAGGGGCGCAGTGGAGTCTGAAGCCTCAACTCCCTGTTATGGCAGTGTCCTTGCTTTCTAAATAAGCTGTCAGAACAGCTAATCATGTTAATCCATACTGGGACTGTGATATGTAGAATTCATACCGCCTAGAACATTTGCATCAAAATCCATTAACTTTTTTTTTTTAAATACTTTAAAACATTTTTTTAATAAAACGGGTCAGTACAAATCACTTGGGCACTCACCCACATTACAAAAATATCTGATGCTGAGTCACAGAGGGCTGTATCCCACAACCTCACTCTGACTGCACTTTTAATTTTCTTTCACTTATTCTTCCATGCCTTCCTCTGTTTGCTTCCCAGAATGATGATGACTTTAGTTCTGGACTTCTTCTGCAACTATTGATCATAAATGCAGTGAAAACGTAAAAAAACCCTAACCCACCCACAACCACCTGCCAAAGAGACCCCTGCAATAATTTGCTTATGTCCTCAAGAATTTAAGAACTGTAATCCAAACCATCTTCAAATCCAACTTTTTGAACAGCAATATAGATGAAATACTTATTGGCTGCTACACTTGATCTATGGGCTTTTATTAAAATTTCTCTGTGAAATTGCTATTAAGTAAAGACAGCTGGACATAGCTGGCCAAATGTATGATGTTCTTTATAAACTTAATCAGTAAGAAGAACATAACATTAATTAAATCCCATGATTTACAGCTTGTATTCAATTGATTAATGTTGATTTTCTTTTCTTTTTTTAAAAAAAAAAAAACAAATTATGGTTTACTTAAATTTCTGTGGGTGAGGTGAAAAGCCTTAGGAAAAATATGGGCTATTGCATTACCTGCTGGTCTTTTCATGCTTATTAATCTTTCCTGCAGTAAACACAATTTGTCTTAATAATTGGACTGAAAATTTTATAGCCATTTAAAATTTGAAAAATTATTTTGTCAGGCATCTTTATTTCTCTAATTACAGTCTTGCACACAATGGCTTGATACTTACAAATGTTCAAAATAGCTTTCTTAACTCTTTTCACAAGCTTTGCAAGGCACCTGAATGTTCCCAAACGACTAGTGTGTTTGAGGGGGCTGGTTGTATTCTTGGGTGCTGCCAAACCCAGTGCCTTTTAGAGCTGCGTACTTTGTGTCTTTTATGTTCTGAATCTCTGACTTCCCTTCTCCTCTGAAAGCCAGTGTCTTTTCAAAGGGAAAACTCAAGATACCCAGTAAACACATTTCACATAATTGAATGTTATATTCTTCCTGTTGAGAAAATAAAGCATCAACAACTTTAGGCTAATGTCTGATGAACGCTTTCTCTCACACTAGGTTCCTTTTCGTTCTCTGTGCTGTCTGGAAAAGTCATGGTTCGTGAAATCTATTTCATCACAGAAGACATGTCTATCAGGTACAGATTTCCAAGGGAGTCACTCTTCTAAATAACCATTTGAAATACAGTAAATGTATATGTCTAAATAACACATACCAAAATATCATCTACAAACGAGCAATAAATATATTTATAAAAGTTAAAAATAAACTGACTCTTTTGATGGTAGTATTTAGGCATTCTTAGATACTTGTGGTGTTAGCTCATTTGCTATTTGAGCTTTATCAATTGAAAGTGAGTACTGGATAAGATTCTAGTTGTCCTTAATATTTGTAAAAGAGAACACTTTAGAGTTTGAAGGAGAACTGTTTTTCAGTAATGTCTTTCACTCCTTCATACTCCCGCTCTTAAGTCTGGAAGATTAATTTTGGCCAAGTAGTTTATGTTTATTTACTGGAACTGAGAATAATTTGTTTCATGAACCACACACTAGCGAATAGCTTGTGATTTTGATTCTTACTGTTCAATTTGGAAGGCCTTGAAAACGCAATGGATATCGGATTTTATACAAGCTTCGGCTAATGCAGTAATTGTGTAATATTATGCTGTATGCTTGGTGCCTTAATATTGCTTGTACACTACTGCAGCTGCAGATCTCTGCACTGCATAAGGCAACATGTCATGCGGCTGCACAGAGGATTTTGGATTGTCACTCTTTTAACTGCTGTTTTATCTGATTTATTTGATTTAGAATTCAAGATGGGTTTATCATATTTCGCTGGTGGAAGATGTACAACCCTAAGCAGAAACAGCATGGTAGGTATCTCAAAAAGGTTTCAAAGTTTAAATGAAATTTACAGGTAGCCTACAGAAAAATGCTTCCTTTGCACAACGGGATGCATGTAATTGACTTGTTAATATGTGCCTGAAGTATATTGAATAATCAGAAGGCATGGGTTCTTTCAACTGGTTGATCTGTGTTACACTAGAACACCACGATGAAATAAATGCAGGATTCATTACTGGGGACTTGAACCCTTCTTAAGACAAACCGTTAACCTTAATAGTAGCCGCCTTTAGCTGTAGTCTGAGCATGGTTGGCCCTGTTTTGAAGTTTATAACTATGATAAATAGACACTTCTTATGTTCTGGAAGTGATTTTTCAAGTTTTAGTGTTGTGCTGTCAGTATTTTAGCAGAAGTGTTACAGTAGGGGATGTTCTTTAGTATTTGATAACCCTGTGTCTTGATGACAACTGCATTCATAGAAGTAGAGAAGTGTGAAAAATTCATTTATTTTTCTCTTTTATCTACGGCTGAAGAAGGACTGTTAACACCAGATGCAAGAGATTAATTGTATCTGTGGAAAACACTGTAAGAAAACATAAGTAGCCTTGTGATGTGTGCTTAGTCATTTATAGGATTAGAATCTGGTTGAATGGGTCTCAGGTCCTGCCTCTCTTGACTTCTGAAGCATCACAGCTCTATTGCTAATTCAAGGAGGTCCAGAAATGGCAACTGTCTACAGTTGAGGAGGGCACTAATTGAGAGGGTCACTGAACTTTGGAGGGCTTTTTTTCTTTTTTTTTTTTTCCCCATCTCCACTTTCAAAGTGGCCTCTGATGGTATGAAGCCTCTTAGACTTGTCAGCAAGCTTGTACAGCTGTTGCTTTGTGAGTACCAATTCCACAGTTGTAGGAGTACTGCATACATGTTATGCAGGTAAATAGGAGACACCGTTCAATATAGTGATATGAATTAGGAAGAGCTGCTCACTTCTTTTTACTGAGGTGTTACTAAGCCTCTGAGGTGACAGGGCACAATTCAAGTTCTTTGTTCCGTAAGAAGACTAATTCAGAAAGTGGAACCTACTCTTAGAGTTAATTAGATTTTTCCAGCCGTAGGTTGTTGTCCAACAGGTTTTCACAGAATTTGCTTCATCTGCTAGTTAAAACATATTTCTCTAGTGGCTCACAGAATGAAAAAATGAATTGAACTTAATGCAGTAAAGATAGTTGTGTCTGTCTTTTATAGTGGTATTTTTGCTTGGCGGTATTGCAGGGCTTTAACCTTTTCTGCTGGCATTTAAGACTGCATAATTAGTGGACAAATAATCCAAGTAACCAAGGAGGTCAGAGGTGTATAGGTCTGACAACAAAGTAACATGAATAAAATACTCTCTTAAATAATTACTTGTTTTCCTAGGAAGAATAAGCTTGCTCACTTTACATTTTGATTATTTAGCAGAGATGCTTTCATTTTTAACCTTACAGGAAAAATAAAGTCTTCAATGATTCTTAGTCTATTGTAGTATATTCTTCCCAACACTTTTTGGGAATCTGCTTGTTTACAACAGAAATACCTGTACCTGACCAAATTGCAAAGGCTGATGGCATACTGCATCTTAAAGATTTATGTTTTGTTCAAGGATTACTTCCTTATAGCTGTCACACAGAATGATTGGAAAAGCTGTTGTAGCTAGACCTTACTGATGCATGCCTTTGTTCCAGATCCTTGATAAAACAAAAAAACAAAATAGAGCTGAGGTTTTCCTATAGAAAAACACATGGGCTGAATCAGGGCTATTAGCAATTTAAAAATCCTATCAGATTCTTATAAAAACACAAGCCTTAAATATTTTAATAGTTTTTGCTTGGAAAAAATACATCATATGAAGACTTAGATATAAGGAATAATGATTAGTTTCTGAGTGTTGTGGTCGTCTTGTTTTAAGTTATATAACTGAAGTGCAGGGTGCTCCTTACAATAATGTGAAATGTGACAGGAATGGGATTTGGTTTTTCATGGTGGTGGTAAACTTAAGGTCCTGTTAGTGTAGAAATAATGTGACCTCGTTCTGTTTTTTTTCTGAGAGATTATTAGAGTATTAAAGGAGGGTTTTTTTGTGCACAAAGGGGAGGCTAGTGGAGGATCCTGAAATACTTGGAGGCCTTAATAAGGGAACTGCCTTTTGGGTCATTTCAGGTGTCCTTGATATCACCTCTTTGGTAAAGGGCTGTACTCGATAATCCAGTTTTCAGTGGTAAGATTATCGATGTTAAGCGCCATTACAATTGTACGCAAGGAGCTGAACTTCAGCATGGGGGCATCTTAAATTTCCGAAAACCTATCTTTGGCTGTTCACATGTGTATGAAGCTTGTACGTGTCTCCGTCTCCTGAAGGAATGTGCTGAAGGTAGTGCAGATTCATATGTTCCGCACTGAGCTTGGGGGAGGAGAACAACTAGAAATTAATTTGTCTATTCAGAGGTTTTAGAATGAGAAAGGGCTTCAATGTTCATCCAGCCCAGTCATACAGGTTGTAAAGTTTTCCCTGGAAGTGAAGTGACCTTTTAAAAAGATTAAGTGATGAGTACTTGACATGTTCACTAAGTTATGCCAAAGCAAAATTGGTTTTAATGCTAAGAATTACATATTCAATCTTGTTATAACTTCAGCTTCCAGGTTGTTACTCCTGTTAGTAAGAAAAATGCAGTATTGTTCCAAATGCCCATGGCATATTTTCATGTGTTACTGGGAGTATTTTTCCCTGATAACTGCTTTCTAATCACATGGCTTCTCAGCCATCTTCCTGATGAGCTGAAGAATGTGGCAGTGCCTGCCAGTCCCTGCTGACCCACTGAGATCCACTGATTTTGCAAGTCTTATGAGGACACACAAAGAAATAAAAACTGAGCGAGGAGCACAATCTGAGGTTTGTCAGAGAAGAGTGAAGGTTATCAGGAAAATGAGGCCAAACTCAGAGAATGGTTTCCTAAACTCTGGTGTATGTACTTTGCAAAATGCTTTATGGTATACTCTTCCTGTTGAAATTCTGGTAGTCTATATGTGTTTATGATCAAAAGGTAGATTACAGTAATGGATACTAGGAAGCATGACTTTGTGTCAGAAAAAGGAAAAACTAAAATGCTTTGCATTCTACTTTTTTCCCCTGTTTGTTCTAAAGCTAAGAGAATTATTTTGTTACCTTTCTTCTGAGAAGATGAAAAGTAACCTACCAAAATTGATGCATTATCTACGTACCCTCTGGAATCTTAAGTAAATGTTGCTGTAAGACTTGGATTGCACTGTAATTTAAGGATGCTTCTCATAAAGACTGAATCACAGTTTCTTGCATAAGAGAAGGTTTCAACTACAAAAAGTTTGGATAATGATTATTGATAACCTGTAGTAAAGTTGCATTTCCTGCTGTGTTTTTTCTAAAAGCTCCTCAGTTTGACCTAGCAAGTGCAATCTGTTTGTCATCATGGCACTGTGTTTGTATGAGGCATGTCGTACCAATGTTGAAAGAGCTTCACAGAAAAAGTCAAGTATGTGGGTTGTCTTCCTGCCTTGAGTGTTAAGCTGAGTCATACTGGGCCTTGAGAGTAGGTTTTGTGCATACTTGAGAAATGAAAATGGTTTAGGAACAAAAGTTGAAGGATTATGTTGTGAATAGGGCACACCCAGATGTCTTGGCTTAGGTGCCACAGCAGATTATCAATTTTCATATTGTAAAACCATAGAGTGTAGTTTGTGAGGTACTTTTTGAAGGGGTAATACTGTTTTGAGAACCAATTCTACTTTTTATTGTTGGGAGTGACTTGTTTTATGTTCCTGTTAGGTTTTATTTAGTGTGTATATTTATGTTGAATTGTTTGGGTAGCTGTGATACAAAGATTTGAATAAATAATAAGTAAATAATAGATCTTGATTAAACTCTGTAGGAGGCGAATGTCAAAACCTTGGCTGCATTAGTCACCTTGATTCCAACAAATGTTGATAAAACTTCAGTATTTTGTTATCAATCTGGTAGTTACTTTTGCATGACCTATGTACGTGCTTCTTTGAATCATTGAACTGTATGACATTCACATGTGCTTGTCTCTTTTTCTTTGCCGCCCCCCACCCCTTTTTTTTTCTATTCCAAAAGTGTCTTAGGCAACCAAATTGGTGTGTGGAGGTCAAATCTTGGGGTTGTTATTAAGAAAAAGACATAGTTGTCTCTTTAAATCCCCTTTAAACAAATGAATTGCTACGTATGATTTCATTTAGTTAATGAAGTCTAATGCTTGCCTCCACAAGTTGAAAAATTACATTTGTGTTTTTGATGATACTGAGATCTCCCAGGTGAACAATTGTGTATCCCAATCTTTGTCCATGTCATCCTTTGCCCATATCTTATTGATACAAGTTAACATGACCAACGAATGGATTTGATAGTGCTTTTATGAAAACCGGAAGGAACTGAAACTGGCTCATTAACTTTTCTCTCTATCTCCTGTTCAAGAAAACTGTGATGTCAGTGCTTTCTGGAGACTTATACATTTACTTTTTTTACCATGATATGGAAATTTCTGGTAACTTAGGTGTGAGGGGTAAAAGGTGGGTTGCTGTTGTTGGGACAGTGTTGTATAGATGCGTCACATTGGGGGACAGATGAGTTTGTTAGCAAAGAGGGAGCATTTAATAAAGCAGGTGTCTCTAAACTTTGGCTCTTGGGCAGCTGCATTTTTTCTCTTGACCGTGACCACAGCAGCAGTGGTGTTTGCTCTGACTTTTTAATTTCTAGTGTCTCTGGGAAATGGTGCCTTCAGTTTGTACCCCCTGAGTTACCGATTGGGGACTGCAGTAATAACTGTTGATGCTTCAGCTTCCTAAAGTCTGTTTGACTCGGAAAGACCAGATCAGGCTTTAGAGCAGCTCAGGTCTCTTGAGTGAACGTGTAATGGGCACTCTTTCAACTGGGTAATTAGGGGGAAATTGCGTGAGCTTTTTCCTCACATTAACTACATAATTAGGTCATACTTTCTAAGGCAAAAGTATGTCAAAGTATGTCACAAACAGCTCTGTATGCGATCAGCAGGCGTTAAACTAGTTTTTAAGTATTGGAGAGTCACACTGATATTACAGTTTAAATTTGTGAAAATGTTGACTGATTGTGCAAAATGAGTATGCTTCTTGTTAGCTCTGCATATTAATATTTTCTGTTTCTCTGTAAAAGAAAGCTTTTTCCCTGCTGTACCACAGAGCTTGGCTAGAAAACCGTTTGGTTTTTGTGACTGAATTGGTCTCAAGTACTGGTATCTGTGCTAAAAAGCAGAGGCTGGCACTGAGGCTTGTGTGCTGTGCATCAAGAGGGATTTCTGTTTGTTTGTTTTTATATATGAGACTGAATAAACCTCATTTACCATATTGTGCAGCTCTTGCCTAGATGTATTTTTGGATTGTGACCTAAGGGTGAAATGCCTTTCAGGTTTTATATTTTGTATGCAACTGTCTTATTTGCCAAGTTTTACTGATTTGCTTGGAATGGTGTAATTATTTTGTGGGTTTTTTAACTGCTTTTTAATATATACTTCAGCAGCTGTTCACTACCGTGTGGATTGTTTTTGCAAAATGTGTGTATTTGAAAAAACTGTAAATATTGCAAGGGAATGTTGGAATAGAATTAGAAACTCTTTTCCTACTATTTGTTTAGATCCCAAGGCAGAAACACGACTATATATTATGGTGAATGACTTTGAATTTCATGTGTACAACCGTTCTGAGCTTTATGGACAACTTCAAGAACTGTTTGGCTTGGATCCCACAATAATTCCAGCAAAGAAAGATGATGAAAAAGCACAAGTAAATGGGAGGCAGAGAACACATACCAATCTTGAAAGGTAAATTATTATTCATTTTGCGATTTTGTTGATTCTTTGTTCTGCAAAGTGCTGAACTAATTGGGTAATGTTTTGTTAACATATGCTCTGGAGGCCAAATGGTTGAAGCAGAGCTGAGAGAGAAATTGCACTGACAGGCCTGACAGTCTAAATCTTTTTCCTTTCCTTGGACTTCCCACCATAATAATTAAAAAACACAACCAAACAAACCAAACACTCCTTGTTTAATGATCAGAGACAGGTTGAAAAATCTGTTTAAAGTATGATGTGGAAAGGGAGCATGTGTTGAAGAGGATTATGCTTGCAGAATAGTAATGGGATTGCTCAGCAGAAGCGATAGCTGCTCGAGACATTGAATAGCCAAATGTGAGGATCTGTATGGTGTTGGGAGGCCTTACTGGTTTTTGACCTTTAAACTTGGGCTGATTTCACATGTTGTCTTTTTAGGGGGTGTGTTTGTGTATAGCTACACAAACCTTCTTATTTTATTCCTCTTTTTGGGGTACCCCGGAAAACATGGTGTAGGTCTATAAGGAGTTCTTCTACATGGCTTCTGTGTAGTGTATTGTAGTCAGATTTTCAATAATAAGCCGTTCTTTGGGCAGAATCACACCAGACTGATTTACTGGCAGGAGCAGGGAAAATCTAAAGAAACTTGAGTCCTTCCCCTGCTGCTGGCCAGGCCAGTACGCGTTGCTAAACTACGTAGCGGGCAGCTGCAGGATGTTGTGGCAGTCCTGAGTTTGGGTAAGGGCTGTGCCTCCGAGACACTCTCTTCATGTTTTCATCTTACGCCCTTATTGACAGACACAGGAAGGGCTTCTGCCTTTGGGGATGACGTGTCTTGGGAAATGAAAAATCCCACACCCAAGTAGGAATATTTAGAACAGACCAAGTTCCCCTGAGGAAGATTTATTTAACTATTGCTCTGTGTTAAACATGGCATGCTTGTTTTCTACCTGTGTCAGCTCAGTATACCAACACCCAAGGCGTAGCTGCGTATGCTTCCTGCTGTTCTTCCAGGCTCTGGAGGAGTCTGCAGTAGTCTGCTAGCAGGTCCCTTACAAGAGGCACCCCTGTGGGAAGGACTGTTCCCTGAGAGCTGTGCACTGAAGACCCCTAGAAGAAAAGGTTGGTTAGTTCTGCAGGAAAGACAAAATAATAAAACCCATTTTTTCCCATAGTGTTAAAGTAAAAACAGAATCTCAAGACCCTTCTTCTTCATGGAGATCGCTTATTCCAGTCATTAAAGTCAATGTGAGCACGGTAAGTGAAAAGACCCTGATAATGAAAATATTTAGCAGTATATGCTTAAAAATCAGGCTTCCCATTCATTTTTCTTATACATTCTTTTTGAGTTTTTGTTCTCCTTTATGCTTTAAAAAAGTTTTAAAATGACACCACCAGCACTCCTCTGACACAGTCACAAATCCTGCTGGTGCTGATGGAAACATGGTTATGTTCTCTGTTGTGGGAAATACTTGTGTCTTAGACTTGTAACAATTTCAAGAATATCACCAAGTAATTAAGCTAGGTAATGGGTGTTGTACAATGTGTGGTGTGTTCGGTTTTTGGGAGGTGATTGAGGGTTTCTTTTTCTCCTTATTTTTCCTTTTCTTCCCTGCATCTTTTAATAGGGATATTTGGACACGTTCCTTAAAAGCTGATGTTGCCTCCCAGAAAAACCAGGAAAACTGTTATTGAGCTGATAGGAGATAGACTATTGAGACTTTAATGTACAAGGTAGTATTTTTAGATATATACAGAATACGGTTAGGATTTTTGTCCACGGTCTTTATTTGCGTATGTCTGGTTAAACTGCATCCTTATACGTAAATTAGATATACATATATATAAAAGAGCAGTGTGTAATGAGCAATTGGGTTTTCTTTCCAATTTAGGGTCGCTTGGCGTTTGGGAATCATTATCAGCCACAAACACTTTGTATTAACTTTGATGATGCTTTTTTGACATATACCACAAAACCACCTTCGAGCCACCTTGATCAGTTTATGCACATTGTGAAAGGAAAACTGGAAAATGTTAGAGTCATGCTGGTTCCAAGTCCAAGATATGTTGGCCTTCAAAATGATGAGTAAGTTTTGGGTATTTTTGCTTCCATATTATTTTATTATTTATTTTAAGAAAATGAAGAAAAGAATGTTAGTTGTGTTTCTGTGACTTTCTCAGTCTGTTTGGACAGTTGGCATTTTTACCACTCTGAAGGTTTTAAATGTTGGATCTTTGAAACTGTTTTATTTATGGAGAAAAGTACTGATTTTCTATCTCATTGTAGATATTTTTTTTTGGTATGTTCTGCTCTATGATTAATATTCAGCATTCAGCTTTCATTTTCTTTCACTCGGGTGCAACAGCTGTACGCAGGCTTTGACAGCACTAAATTTCTAGGATAAACACGAAGTTTAAGGTGTTGACTTCTGTAAAACTGATTCGCATATGGTTTGGAAAATATTTTTAAAAGATGGGCAAAAGCTGCGCAATACTTGCTGTAATAGAAAACATGTTAGCTTTGAAGACAGATTGATGATCCTTTTACCTCTGTGTATTCCGCATAAGCAGGGTTATGCAGCTTTAACAAACTGAATGGTAATAAGTCAAAAGAAAGGGTGCTCGCATGAAGTGAGTGGATACTAGGATTCTTCTTTTATTGTGGCTATTGATGGCTACAGGCTCTTCAGAAGGGACAGGCGAGGAAGGAGAGGCGGAGGCGTTGCCCTCTACGTAAAGAAATCAATACAGTGTGAAGAGCTGTCCCTGAAGAATAGCCACGAGCGGGTCGAAAGCTTATGGGTAAGAGTCGGAGACAGAGGCAACAAGGGGAACCTGGTGGTTGGTGTCTACTACAGGCCGCCTGATCAAGGGGAGCCTGCTGACGAAGCCTTCTTCCTCCAGCTCCGGGAGGCTTCGCGCTTGCAGACTGTTGTCCTGCTGGGGGACTTCAACCACCCCGACACTTGCTGGAAAAGCAACACAGCGAGCTGTAGGCAATCCAGGAGATTCCTGGAATGCATAGATGACAACTTCCTAAGCCAGGTAATAGACACACCTACCCGAGGGGACGCGATACTGGATCTGATGGTCACCAATGCAAGTGAGCTCATCAGTGACATCAAGACTGGAGGCAGCTTGGGCTGCAGTGATCACGCATTGGTGGAGTTCACACTCCTGAGGGACATGGGAAAAGTGAGGAGTACAGTCAGGACCCTAAATTTTAGGAAAGCAAACTTCCAGCTCTTCAAGGTGTTAGTCAGAAGGACCCCCTGGGAGACGGTCCTTAGGGACAGGGGAACAGAACAGAGTTGGCAGATCTTTAAGGACACCTTCCATAGAGCACAAGAGCTATCAGTCCCCAAGTGTAAAAAATCAGGCAAGGA